TGTCAGACTGACACTGCTGTTCACTTTTTAAAATCTGCTTTCAAATTCATGTCATTGCCCATACAGGAGAAGTCAAAAGAAAAGAAAGTCTTGCCTGGAAGGAAGGAAGAAGGCAAAACAAAGAAGAAGTTCACCATGACAGAGACATCTGTGAGTATAATACATCCAATTGCATACATTTAATGTTACAGGTTGGGGAAAATAGCAAGCTAGAAACTAAAATCTTTCTGATTGAAGCAGAATGCTTCATAAGAATACAACGAAAAAGAGTACTTTTTAGATAAGAGTAAAATATCAGGCAGTTGTGTATTTATCAAATATTCTTCTGGCCTGTTGGTGCTATTGTGTTCATCTGCCTAATTTGACCTTTAAGTCAGTTAAATGTTAACATGTTTTTTAATCTATGAGTCCCTTTTACAGTGAAAAGTTATATACTGACATCAGTTTTACCCCAAGTGTCACCAAGAGTGTCAATAACACATTTGCTTTTTGTACTTTCAGAATGATGACATCTCTAGAATTGAGTCTGCCACAAAGATTGTTGAACGCATGGTCAATCAGAACACCTATGATGACATCGCCCAAGGTATTATAGGAGCCTTTTTTCTATGGGGACACAGGATTTTAAACAATCGCTCATGAGAAAAGCTTTGAAAAGGGCTGTTTTATTAGTAAAAGCATGGTCAAAAAGTTATTTTCAGTTAAACTTCATTTCTGAAGTGCGATCTCATGGGGAGAAGGAGAAAAAAGTATGTCTCAGACACGTTTGAACAATGAACAGAGTGACAAGTTTGAGTTAAGATTAGGAAGGGAGGTATTTATAGAGACAGCATCATATCCTTCTCTTTCCCATATTTTCCTTCTCTATCTTACTCGTCAAATCATGTCATGCTGTAATAAATTTGGAAGAACATCTTAACCAGCATGCAGGGGCAACAAAGCACATGCTGGTTACTGTTGACTGGATTAAAGAGAAGTTTGGATTTCCATTAGATTGAAAAATCTGTAACTTTTGTGCAATCTGAGGAATAGTTCTTTTGTGGGAACTCATTCCTGCATTTGACCGCCATTGTTGGCTGCATAACCTTGAACACTTCCATGTTCTTAGGGTTGACTTTGTTAATCATTTATTGGGAAATCAACAGTGCATTTGTTTCTCAGAGCATATCGACCGCTCAGTGTAAGATTCTGTCATACATCACTTTTTTAATGACATATATAGCGTAGTCTTATACTAAGCAGTCAATATATGAAAACAACTTTTTTCATTTTAGACAGGTTGAGTTTTTTCAGATCTAATGAGTTTGACTATTCCGTCTCCGTTTTATATCACATATTTGTTACAGCAGTCGAGATAGGGGTGGGGGAAGGAGTGAGATATCCCACCATGAAAGATATCCACCTCAGACAGTTTCTGTCTTGACTGGTTCAATGATGCAGCCTTAGCTTTTGTTTCTGTGGTTCCCATGACCTTCCAACTTTTGTTGATAACTTGCAGATTTCAAGTACTGGGAGGACGTGTCTGACGAGTACCGTGACCAAGAGGGTACCCTCCTGCCCCTGTGGCGTTTCTCCTTTGAAAAGGCAAAGAAACTCGCCATCACCTCTGTCTGCTGGAGCCCAGGATACAAAGATCTTTTTGCTGTGTCATGCGGTTCCTGTAAGTGCATTTGCTCTTCATGTTTTACACCCACGCAGGTATCAAGAAACGAGCAATAATTTGGAAAAAGGAACGTGAAGTTTATGCCTCTTAGTTATCCTTTTATAAGCTTGTCATTAGTTACACGAACAGCAACAACAACATTTTCGTGCAACAAACTTATTTGAGAATGTAAAGTTAAATATTACATTCTCTTAAGTCAAGAGAATATTTACATATTTCAATCTACAAATCTTTCCTCTTCCAGTAACATACCACTTGCCATTTTAAAGTCTTTTTTTGGGGTCTTTTTTCGGTTTTCTTTTGGCACTAATTATATCTTTGCTGTCCTATTTTCCAGATGACTTCATGAAGCAAGGGAATGGTCTGATTATCTTCTGGACTCTGAAAAACCCCTCCTTCCCTGAATGCTTCTTTGAGGCAGACAGCGGAGTTATGTGCCTTGATATTCATCCTCAACACCAACACTACATCGCAGCAGGTTTCTATGATGGGAGTGTGGCTGTATTCAGCACAGTTGAGAGGAGGGATGGACCAATCCATCGGTGCACAGCTAAGAATGGGAAGCACACAGACCCTGTGTGGCAGGTGTGTTTCAGTTGTCAGGTTTTTTGTCATTATAAGAAGTTTTTTAAAATCCTCAGTAGAATTTCCAAAATCCTTTTTGACAAGACCACAGTTGTTACGTATTTCCCTCACAGGATAAATCAAAATCATATGCATGTTTTTGTATCAATTGTTCAGTGTTAAACCCCATCAAATGTCACATTTCAAAACAACGTGTGAGGGAGTCTTACTAAGCAGTTGATATAAACTATGCTTCCGAGGAGTTACTGCCATAGAGGAGTTATGACAAGGACATTTTGTAGAGATATGACTTGATTTTTAAGCAAATGCACATGTTTTAAAATTATTTCTTATATGAGTATACATTTTTAAACATTCTCGGTGACTTACACGTACATTCTCACAAAATATAATATAATAGAGAAAATAGGATAAAGGTTTGTGCAAAAAATACTTTGGAACGGATGGAGCAATGTTATGAAATTCTCATTTTATTGATTAACGAAGTTTGCGAAAGATTCTGTAATAAGTGTATTTCTAACCAACATATACCATTATTTTCATTTCTGTGACATCATTATGTGCTAACATTCTTGAAACAATGTTTGTTTTTTAAGCTCTGTAACATATGTAATACCCCTACAATTCTTTTAAAGAATTTTTATATGAAGGCAAAAATTACTCTTACTTTGAGTGTACATGCTAAAAAAGATATGTTTATACAAAAATGTACAAATGGATCAAAACTGTATCTTTTTGACAACTCTAGGTACGCTGGCAAAAGGATGATGCAGACAACAACATGAACTTTTACTCCATTTCCTCTGATGGCCGCATTTGTTTGTGGACAATCTTGAAGGTATTCACTTTTTCCATGTCGTTAAGTCTTATTTCTCCCATCATGTGTGTCTTCTTCTTCTTCTTCTTCCTCGTTCTCGAAAATCAGTAACCCAATTAAGTGGTGATCCGCTGAAATGCGGAACCAAAAACACCTGTCAACCCCTTCGTCGCCTTATGACGTACCTAGTACGTCATGAAGACGGGCAATTTTTAACGCTGCTGCATCATGTACGTCACGCAAGTTGGTGAAATTTACCGGTCCTGATTGCCTATATGACGTTACATGTACGTAACACTAATAACCTGGCTCTAATTCTTTTGTACGAAGTTTTAACTAGAAGCACCGCATAGGTTCATTTTCGGGAATAAAAGATGCGCATATCAGTACCAAATTTGCTAGTATTTCTTTACTGATAGACTTGCAAGCGATCAATAAACATAGATCTTGGCTTGTGGGCGGCCACGTCCTTTCATAAAACTAAAACATCGAAATGACTTTAAAAAAGCAAATAAATTCACTTTTTGACTTATTATTCGAAATTATGAGAAAGATGGGAGGAAATGGGGTTTTTTAAAAGCGAGAAAAGTGAAACAATCAAAGACCTGGTGTCTGAAATATGTCGCGAGTACGCCTGATCTAGACCGCACAACGATTAGCACTGAGACTTTAGGCTGCTGTCCTGTGCTACGAGCTCAGCTGAAAATCAGTGCTGACAGTAGGAACATGCACTCCCTGGCAACAAAAGGGTTAAGCGGCGATCCGTATTCAAAAAGATATTCCTGCCTCTGAATTTGAAACTATGGTAGTAAAAAATAATCTGATTCAGTCAGAGCCAGAAATTTACCAGAGCAGGTCAAAATGTTACCATGTAGAGGAAAAAACTACATGGAATGGGATTTTTTTTCTATTTGTAGCTACTTAAAGCTTGTGAGAATTTATCTTTAGAAATACAATGGGTCAAAATTTTGAACAATATATTGTCCAGTATGCTGACTCTTGTTTGATTAAATATACTGAATAAGGTAGATCCTGTGGAATTTCTCCCCACTTGATATTTCATCTCAGGTATGCCTTCTGTCAAGAACCAGCTTCAAAGAAATGAAATATACAAAAACTCTGAAAATTATCCAAATGATATTTTAAAGGGGTATATTTCACTTGTCAGAAAATGAGTAAAGAGGGAAAAGATATTGCCTTAAAAGTTTTTTTGAAGCCAAATGATAATCACTTTAGACACAGGCCTTATAATTCCTTTTCTGTGAACAACGCATCTGTTCATCACCTTCTTATTTGCTTATCAACAAGTCCCTGTGCCATATACTCCTTCCTCCCACGCAGAAAGTCCCATGATTCGGTTTTCTCTCAGAGCTGTTATTGTAGGTCAACCCACCGTATCTGCCAGCCAACAAGATGGGCGGAGTATAAAAGATCCTGTTTTGTCTCAGCATCTGTTGTACAATGGTTGGGCTCTTTGCCATGACATACGAAAGATTTGAAATTGGTTACTGTGTGGGGATGTGTTGTTTTTTTTTATCAAGTATCTCTGTCTGTCTGCTGGGACAAAGAATCCCCTTCAACCCATGTTGGCCATGACAGCTGGAGTCAAAACAGCCTGCCCCTTAAATAATGTGAATTGTGTCAGTGGGAGTGTTAAACATTTATATTCAATTTCAATTCCAATGAGTATGTGAATGGTGCTACATTACACAGAGAAGAAAAGTTAGAAGTAGATTGTTTCAAGAGCTTGCATTCATGGCTCTGTTTGAGGAATCAGTTTTTTTTCCTTTTGCCTCTTTGAAACAGTCATTCAGATTGCTCCTGATTCTAGAGTAATCACATTATGATGAAAGGTAACTCAAAATTTCTTGTCCTTGTCAGCAGAAGATTTTTTGTTTTTACATTTTTACATTTCTCTAACTTTCTCTCCTTCAGGCTGCACCAACCAGCGATCCACGGAAGAGATCAAAAAGAGGGGTAAGAATAAAGAATTGCAATGAAAAAAACGTTTAAATGTCTTTCATGACTTGCCTTTTTCATCAAAGAATTCTGTTATTGTTGTGTTATCTTAAATGCAGGTGCTCAAGTTATCCCATCTTAGGAACGTGACTGCATGGAGCTTGGATAAAGCTTTACTTAACCCATTCTGATGGGAAGGGTACCAGTTCACAAAGCCTCTCCAAGCAAACTAGTCCTGACTCTACGTGTCACTCCAAACGGTAGCCTATCACTAGCTTGAAAAACTTAATTTTGGATTCATATTTTGTCATCTACTTGTATTGAAATGTATTAGGATTTTCTGCAACTCTTGAAACTATTGGCTACTCAAGTGCTTATCCAACAGCATGCAAAGTTTCATGAGTAGTTCTCTCTGTATCATAACAATATGCTCGTTAAAATTATTATTGCGAATAAAGAAACAAATTATCTCTTTTTTTTTTTACACCAAAAAGACAGATCAATAATACAAAACAGAGGGGAAAAGGGACAGAGTAACTGTGATATGGCTGATAAATTTACAAAGGGCTTACAATGTTTCTCTCTCTCTCTGTGAAAGATCTTCATGTTGTCATGACTCCTAGGGGAGATGGGAAACACTGTCCTAATAATTTTCTCTGTGTCAATTTGGCATGTTGAACTTGAGCAAAGGAAAGCAAACAAAAGCCACAACTACACTGAGTGACATATGGAGTTCTTTTGTTTTCTTCTGTATTCCAGGATGGTGATGATTTAACAGAAGTGGGAGATGGCACAGAGCAGGATGACTGGATGCAGGTCAGTAATTTGCAAACATTATTTTTTTCTTTTACTATTTCTGATGAAGCCATTTCAGAACCTTACATATGTTCAAATCATTGAGGGGGAAGATGTGTGTGTGTGGGGAAGGGGGCAGCGCTATTGAAAAGGTCAAAGGAAAATGTTACATCAGAGGGTCTTTCTCTTTCTTCAGACCAGCCAATAGAATGGCCTCTCAGCACTGAGGATTAAAATGAGGGTTCTGCCTTCAAGTGACAAAACCATTGTTTATGTGATTTTATATTAGTACAAAAAAAAGTGAAAAGAAATTGTTTCAAGGCGAAAACATGAAAGCTTCAGTCAAATGTGTTTTCTTTTCTCAGTTCTTGCATTTGATAACAAGAAGCATGATTGTAATTAGTGAAAACAAGATTGTCCATAATAATTGTTACATATCTTTGGCTGCATTAATGTTAGTTTTTATTTTATTTACTTTAAAAATGTTAGTTTAATCAGGAGGTTAAATCATTCTTTTGTGATATTGAACAAAGTGCCGTTATAAGATCTTATTCTGGCAGACAATTTTCCTCACAGGTAGCAAATCAACAGCTTATTTATTTTCCCTGGGTTTTCTTCACTTATATTTGAAAACTCACTCTGGATTGTTCGAACTCTTTCTTTTATTCTGAGGCTTGAAGGAGGAGCAGCCATTCATGTGTCCAGACTGCAATGTAACCAGTATTTGAATTATTTTTTTCCAGGCAAAAACCCTGGTTAAACCTGATGACCAGCTGGAGCTGAATGAGACGGTCAGTACCTCCTTTTTTACCAGTCGTTAAGTCTTATTAGGTGTTAAAATATTTTTTTCTAACATTTTATTTGAGCTGTCACATACAGATTACAGAGCAGTCTTCTAAGAACATCAACCTTCTTTTAGCATCAAACTATTATTCAACATCTGTTTTCGCTGTAAATTTAACTATAGGAAACAACTTTGACCATATGATACGTTGAGATACAACATTATTTAGAATAACCAAGGCCCTAATGAATTACCAACAAACTCTTGCCCTCCACGAGTGAAATCACTTACCTTGACAAAAGAACTTGATTGACATGCACGGGATGGGTTTCTTCCTTGTTGAGAACGGTCAAATGCCTTTTGTCGTGTTTGAAAAAAACCTGACAGTTTTTACAGTTCTTAAAAGAGGGATAAATTGCATTTTTGTGAAAAAGCAAGATAAACATGGAATTTGTCTCATTTTATTGCGAAACTGTTTGTGTTTGCATGTGGGTGTGTGTGTGTCTGTGTGTGTGTGTGTGTGTGTGTGTGTGTGTGTGTGTAATTGTGTGTGTATGTGTGTGTATTTGAAACCAAATGTTAGGATGTAGGACTCAGCTCATGGTGTTCATGTAGTACTTTATATACACATTTAACAAAGGCATAGGAGACAATCAAGTAGTTAAATTTCAGTCTCTTAATTCTCTGGTTGCTTTTTTCTGCTCGACTGTGCAACCTGTTGTGTTTTGGGTTTTTATGTTTATTAATTTTTTTTTTAAATTGCTCTCATACTTACCGCAGAGATATCAAAGACCTTCTGAGTTGCATCCTTTTATTTTTACATGTAAGTGTACACAAACATTCCATACACTACACTTTCTAAAAGTAATTTCTTCCTTTCTTCTTATCATACTTTATTTGTTCCACAGGAGCTGAAAGAAGAATTCACCAGAATCTTGACTGCAAACAATCCTCATGCCCCTCAGAACATTGTCCGCTACAGCTTCAAGGTAAATTAATTTCGCCATGACAAGATAATTTCATTAAGATGACCATTTTGTGCTTTCTTTTGGGAAAAATGTCTTTTTAAAAATTAAGAAGGAAAAAAGGAATAGGTAAGGTGGAAAGAATCCTCCATGGAGTTTACATATTTATTTAACCTTTATCTTTAGGTTGCTACAATTTATGTAGCTTCACTGATGCATCATATGAGAAAATGAGTGTTTAAGTGTGATAACTTACGTTTCACCAAATACCATTTTCCTACCAGCCACAGGTGGGTGATATAAGAGTCTTGAATCCATCTAAATTTCTGTTATTTAAAAAAAATATGAGCACCAACCTAGAGCAGTTGGGAAACGTGTTCTGTTTAAACCAATCCATGATGTTGTGATCCAAAGCTACATGCACAATTCTACACCAATGCGACATCACTAACACTTTACGTATGTGACACAACTAAGTCCCTTTCTGATAACCCTTAGCTTCTTGTGGTAAGCTCCTGAGATGTAGGGAGGAATGAATTGGTTAAGTTTGGTTCCTGTCACTGTAAATAAACAATATAGGTTTGAAAATTAAGAAGTACCATACACATATCATGATGGGAACACATACTCCATTAACACTTTCCATTGATCTCACGATGTCCTTTATTAATGTGTCAGTTATCTGGAATTCTCTAGTAATCAGTTGTTTTGACCGTGTCAGTGACAAACTTTGTTCATCCCATGAAGAGAAATTTGTCTTGGTTTTATACAAGAACTGTGTGGTTGCAAGGTTCATATGCACTCACAAATACACACAACAAGAAAAGACAAAAATGTTTTGAGCTGAAACACCTCTGCTACATAAACTTTCAGCCCACGGAGAAGGATCCCACCTTTGCATCTTCTTTTTAATCAATATCAGGAGCGCCAGTACAAACAGACTTCAAGTGTTGATCAGCTGGCCGTACACTTTGCACTGGATGGCAATTTGCTGCACAAGGATTCAGATGAGGCGAGAAGGCAACTCAGTCGGATGGGTCTCTCTGAACAAAAAGAAGGTGAATAAAGTTTAAACTTTAGCTGTGACTTTAATATTTCAGTATTTCCTAACCATTCTTGTTAATTGTTAAGGGCACATAAGCAGTATCCAACAAATTAACAGAAATTTGAGAAGGTTCTTTATTAATACTGTGTTCACTAGTTTTAAACTAATATCCAGCCAAAGAGGTAAGAAGTGGTGTGGCTAAACTCCTGAATTGTTTGAGGAAAACAGAACAGACACATTTCTGGTACATGTTCCATTGGTTCTGGTTTTGCTAAAATTAAATCCGGCTTTCAAATAGTTTTAATGGGTGAACAGAACAAGCTCTCTGTTTACAAAAGTTATTTGTATTGATTGTAAAATGCATATATATCTAAAATGAAACATATTTAAAGATGAAGCCTGCATCATATGATATATAGGGTTCAGACAATGCTAACAAGCCTAACTGTACTGGTGCAAAGTTACCTGAATGATTTAATGTATGCTGTGTTTTCAGTTGTAAAGGTGTTTCATGTATGTTTGAATTTTTCTAGATTCATAACTGTTTAACATTTTTCTTTCTGTCTTTGCTTTTAACTTTCAGAGGAGAAAGAAGGTAAATTTTCTTATCTTTTTTTTCTGCACAGTTTTCATTCTTTCAGTTTTGAAATGTCAAATGTACAGTACATGTGCAATATTTGTATGGACACCCCTCAAAGTAAAAATTCCAGTTTCTGAATTCCTGAAAAGTTATCAGTTTCCTATAACCTTCTAAGGTCATCAAGCACAAAGCGCATGTTTTCTCTTTTCTTTTAGTATTGCTAAAAAAAACAACCATTTATTAAAAAGTGAGCAGCCGAGCTTTGCATTTTCAAATGTAAAAGTAGACACATCTTTACTTAGGTGAGCCAGTGGGATAAGTACTCTTTGATTCTTTATATATGTTCATCGTATCTCAAATTTAAATGAATGGATGAGGTCAAAGTTGTGAACAAGCAGGCAAAAGAGCAAAGTCAATAAAGGTGTAGCAAAGTTTGACAAAAACACAACAAAGACTTGTGTATGTGCCAAAGGTTGGTGAGGTTATTGTAATTTTAAACGTGAGAGAAAGGCAAGTGCAATTAAGAGGGGACCAGTATTTTACAAATCAAGTTTAATTTGTTGCTGTCGAGAGAAGATAATTTGACATATATGTGGCGGGGGGGGGATCAGATTTCTTTCATTTGTGCGCTTTTTATCCACTAATTTTCAAATTTGCTATTTTTTTGTGCTTTCTTACAGAGCAGCTCAAATATTTTGCTGCTATGTCCGTTTAGCTGTGTGATAATGTTATCTACAATTGAAGCTGAATGATATTATATTTTCAATACCTTTTTCAAGTGAACTGATATTATATCTTTGAATTCTATTATCTTATCTGGTCAGCTATTTAAAAAAATCTGTTTTCCAGATGATGAGAAGATATCAAGCATATATCACAATAACAAAGTAGTTTTCTGTACGTCTTACATCTTTCATGTATTTAAATTGAATCGCAATTATCAGATATGAGGTAAAGTTGTTTTTTAATTTATCTCCTGTAAAACAATCATTTTTTGCTTCAAAACTTACTGGAAATGTGGTGTCATGTGTAACTGTGACTTATTACAAAAATAGGTGGTTTTGTCCCTTCAATTCAACCGATTCATTAAATTTGAATGTACTAAAAGAAAATGTAAAAACCGAATTGTCATTTGAAATTTTCAGAAGAAAAAGAAGGTGAAATTTTTTTTCCTCTTTGGATTATTTTACTGTGATTGATTTTATTTTATTTGCCCTTTTTTAGTAGCTTGTGCACGTCAAAGTTCTTTTATTTCAGTATATTCTTTGTCAAAACACCAAAAAAATGCTATATGTCGATTGCTTGCCAAAGCACCTATGCATCGCTGTAGGATAAATTTTTGTTTTTCGCCTGTGGGAGTGTCATTTTTAGCATGGTTTAATATCCATGCAGTTTGGGTTATTGCCTAAATTGAATTTTTGAGTGTACCTTTTATAGGATCAGTAATTGTGGATACAAAACAAGTTTAAAATACAAACTGATTGCAGCCTAATCAAGCAAGAGTTCTAAACTGTGTAATTCCTCAAAAGTCTCTTCTGTTAATGGGACTGAGTAGTGACAGTTAAGTAATAAATGCGCTGTTTATATTCAGAAACTTAATTCATGAATATGCAATGCAGTCTGTGCATGAACAAGGGGATAGCATGGCACTACTTCATAACTACTCTGCTCTGAAAAGGCTCCAAGAGTTTGAAAAAGTTACCATCCCATCATACAGAAAATTTCAGGGACTTAAAAATATTCAGGTATGAATATAGAAAAAGGAATGGTACTCCAAAGGTCTAAAGGTATTATTATCATTTTGTTGATGGTTTAGTGGCAGACTGTTTTATGAGTTACATTGCAGCTGCTAACTGTTCCTCTGTTGACTTGATTCAAGTAGTCTGAGTCTTTCTGTTTTTGAAAATTGTATTTAAACAGATGTTTATAAAGACATAATATGTATGGGCCTACATACAATTTCTTTTTTTCTTTTCACTCTTTGTTATAGCTTCTGTACATCGTACATCCCAGTTACTAGCATGTTGCTTAGAGTTTTATTCTTCTTCAGTTTTTCTCAGAAATGCTTGAATAAACTTAGAAAGGAAAAAAAAACAAATATAACCAGCAACACAATTTTTTTAAATTTTTTTTTTGGGGGGGGGGGTTGCAGGAGAACAACAAGCTTCTTCTGTTTGTACTTTTTAAAATTGTGATGCTCACAAAATTGATATCACCTTTGCTTTGGGCATATTCATAGCAAACTTAGAAAGCATTTCCTTTTTTTTTCTTATTGTTGTTCCTTTTCTTGTATCAAATACTGTTGCTCTTTTTCCGACATAAATCAATAAATCTGTTTTTTCTCAATTTTTTTTTCAATGTTGTGTTTCTGAAAACTTTGAGCTTTCTGGAACTATAGTGTAAGTGTCAGTCTTTTTTTCACATCCACTGATTTATATATTTGTGTCTTGTTTTAAAATATAATTATAAGAACAGCTTTAGTTTTGTTTAAGAAAATATTGGGCTTCATTAAAAAGCTTGCAACTCCAACATAGTCGTTTATTCATTTCTTGTGTTTTGCACTGTATTAGGCCTACCTTTATGCTTCACAATTCTTCACCTTGAATAGTTTGAAATGTGTATAATGTTGTTCAGCCATGTAATAATGGCTAGAATTATATAATGTTTGTTTGGTTGTGGAGCTACAGTGTGCGGTTGGTGGGTGCTCTGATGTAATTTGCCTTTTCTTTGCTATTAAACATCTGTTGTCTATGTCTCTGCTCCTTCTTTACTTTATATGTTACTCTCTAGTAACACCTTTAATCTTCAGCACTTATATGACCTTATTGAGTTGAAAGTGCCATAAAACACAAACAAAAACAAAAAAGTGAAGCTACAGTGTGTCACAAACCTCTCCTTGTGATTTGTTTATTAGAAGTGGCAGAAGCTGAAGGTGGAGCAGCCGCTGAAGAAGGAGGAGAGGAAGGCGGAGCTGAGGGAGAGGGAAAGGAGGAAGGAGGGGAGGAGGGAGCCTCCCCTGCCCCACCCGTAGCCAAAGGAGGGTCTAAAGAGAAGAAACTGACCAACCAGTTCAATTTCAGTGATAGAGCTTCTCAAACCTACAACAATCCATTCAGGGTAAGATTGTAATTAAGTGTTCACCTTGATTGTTTGCTTAGTGTTCTAGTTAAACAGTACTGTCAGAGGATTTTGCGCTTTTTGAGTATCGTAACTAATACTTTTGCTGGAAAAATCAGGACAGAAGATATATCTTGTTAAGAATTTTTAAGATATGAATCAAAGTATATATCAAACGTGTAAGATACCCTTTTAAAAAAAAATTATTAATTCTTATTTGTCATCAAAATATTGATTCAGGTGATAACTATATATCTGTAACTTTGAGATAAGTGGAGTCTGCTAAAACTAAAATCTGAAGGACAAATAAAAGAAAAAGAAATTGCAGTTTTTATTTTCTATCGGTTCACTGCTGTGATTTTTGGATTAACTATGTTCGGTTTACGCATACTCAACTGTATACCAGTATTCAAAATCAGCTTGAAGACAGTGCATCTTGTAAATTTACAGATACAGTTCTGATGAATACTTTGCAATGTATGTATGTCCCGTGATAACTAAAAATCCCTTACCATGTTTGGTGATTTTCCTATATTCATTTGACTGTTAATTTGTAAATCTTACTGCGTTGCATTATTCGTCCATGAATTTTGAGAGATGTGTTTGGTTCTTTTGTCCAGGACCGTGGCACAGTGACAGAGCCACCACCAAGAGCCTCATTTGCCTCCAATGTCACACAGTGGGAAATCTTTGATGCTTATCAGGAAGATTTTGAAAAACAGGTATGTAGCAATTTTTGTTTGTCTAAATATAAGGTGAACCCCTTTTAACTTATTATTTTCTTTGCTATTATATATTTGTTACTGTCTAAAGATGCCAAAATATTTCTACCTCAATTTTTCTATAGTCTTAGCATTTTAATCCTTTACTCCAATTTATCCTTGTTGTTAGATGTTGTTGCTACTGCTCTCTGCATTGCTTTGTGTCAGACTGACACTGCTGTTCACTTTTTAAAATCTGCTTTCAAATTCATGTCATTGCCCATACAGGAGAAGTCAAAAGAAAAGAAAGTCTTGCCTGGAAGGAAGGAAGAAGGCAAAACAAAGAAGAAGTTCACCATGACAGAGACATCTGTGAGTATAATACATCCAATTGCATACATTTAATGTTACAGGTTGGGGAAAATAGCAAGCTAGAAACTAAAATCTTTCTGATTGAAGCAGAATGCTTCATAAGAATACAACGAAAAAGAGTACTTTTTAGATAAGAGTAAAATATCAGGCAGTTGTGTATTTATCAAATATTCTTCTGGCCTGTTGGTGCTATTGTGTTCATCTGCCTAATTTGACCTTTAAGTCAGTTAAATGTTAACATGTTTTTTAATCTATGAGTCCCTTTTACAGTGAAAAGTTATATACTGACATCAGTTTTACCCCAAGTGTCACCAAGAGTGTCAATAACACATTTGCTTTTTGTACTTTCAGAATGATGACATCTCTAGAATTGAGTCTGCCACAAAGATTGTTGAACGCATGGTCAATCAGAACACCTATGATGACATCGCCCAAGGTATTATAGGAGCCTTTTTTCTATGGGGACACAGGATTTTAAACAATCGCTCATGAGAAAAGCTTTGAAAAGGGCTGTTTTATTCTTAAAAGCATGGTCAAAAAGTTATTTTCAGTTAAACTTCATTTCTGAAGTGCGATCTCATGGGGAGAAGGAGAAAAAAGTATGTCTCAGACACGTTTGAACAATGAACAGAGTGACAAGTTTGAGTTAAGATTAGGAAGGGAGGTATTTATAGAGACAGCATCATATCCTTCTCTTTCCCATATTTTCCTTCTCTATCTTACTCGTCAAATCATGTCATGCTGTAATAAATTTGGAAGAACATCTTAACCAGCATGCAGGGGCAACAAAGCACATGCTGGTTACTGTTGACTGGATTAAAGAGAGGTTTGGATTTCCATTAGAATGAAAAATCTGTAACTTTTGTGCAATCTGAGGAATAGTTCTTTTGTGGGAACTCATTCCTGCATTTGACCGCCATTGTTGGCTGCATAACCTTGAACACTTCCATGTTCTTAGGGTTGACTTTGTTAATCATTTATTGGGAAATCAACAGTGCATTTGTTTCTCAGAGCATATCGACCGCTCAGTGTAAGATTCTGTCATACATCACTTTTTTAATGACATATATAGCGTAGTCTTATACTAAGCAGTCAATATATGAAAACAACTTTTTTCATTTTAGACAGGTTGAGTTTTTTCAGATCTAATGAGTTTGACTATTCCGTCTCCGTTTTATATCACATATTTGTTACAGCAGTCGAGATAGGGGTGGGGGAAGGAGTGAGATATCCCACCATGAAAGATATCCACCTCAGACAGTTTCTGTCTTGACTGGTTCAATGATGCAGCCTTAGCTTTTGTTTCTGTGGTTCCCATGACCTTCCAACTTTTGTTGATAACTTGCAGATTTCAAGTACTGGGAGGACGTGTCTGACGAGTACCGTGACCAAGAGGGTACCCTCCTGCCCCTGTGGCGTTTCTCCTTTGAAAAGGCAAAGAAACTCGCCATCACCTCTGTCTGCTGGAGCCCAGGATACAAAGATCTTTTTGCTGTGTCATGCGGTTCCTGTAAGTGCATTTGCTCTTCATGTTTTACACCCACGCAGGTATCAAGAAACGAGCAATAATTTGGAAAAAGGAACGTGAAGTTTATGCCTCTTAGTTATCCTTTTATAAGCTTGTCATTATTTACTTGAACAGCAACAACAACATTTTCGTGCAACAAACTTATTTGAGAATGTAAAGTTAAATATTACATTCTCTTAAGTCAAGAGAATATTTACATATTTCAATCTACAAATCTTTCCTCTTCCAGTAACATACCACTTGCCATTTTAAAGTCTTTTTTTGGGGTCTTTTTTCGGTTTTCTTTTGGCACTAATTATATCTTTGCTGTCCTATTTTCCAGATGACTTCATGAAGCAAGGGAATGGTCTGATTATCTTCTGGACTCTGAAAAACCCCTCCTTCCCTGAATGCTTCTTTGAGGCAGACAGCGGAGTTATGTGCCTTGATATTCATCCTCAACACCAACACTACATCGCAGCAGGTTTCTATGATGGGAGTGTGGCTGTATTCAGCACAGTTGAGAGGAGGGATGGACCAATCCATCGGTGCACAGCTAAGAATGGGAAGCACACAGACCCTGTGTGGCAGGTGTGTTTCAGTTGTCAGGTTTTTTGTCATTATAAGAAGTTTTTTAAAATCCTCAGTAGAATTTCCAAAATCCTTTTTGACAAGACCACAGTTGTTACGTATTTCCCTCACAGGATAAATCAAAATCATATGCATGTTTTTGTATCAATTGTTCAGTGTTAAACCCCATCAAATGTCACATTTCAAAACAACGTGTGAGGGAGTCTTACTAAGCAGTTGATATAAACTATGCTTCCGAGGAGTTACTGCCATAGAGGAGTTATGACAAGGACATTTTGTAGAGATATGACTTGATTTTTAAGCAAATGCACATGTTTTAAAATTATTTCTTATATGAGTATACATTTTTAAACATTCTCGGTGACTTACACGTACATTCTCACAAAATATAATATAATAGAGAAAATAGGATAAAGGTTTGTGCAAAAAATACTTTGGAACGGATGGAGCAATGTTATGAAATTCTCATTTTATTGATTAACGAAGTTTGCGAAAGATTCTGTAATAAGTGTATTTCTAACCAACATATACCATTATTTTCATTTCTGTGACATCATTATGTGCTAACATTCTTGAAACAATGTTTGTTTTTTAAGCTCTGTAACATATGTAATACCCCTACAATTCTTTTAAAGAATTTTTATATGAAGGCAAAAATTACTCTTACTTTGAGTGTACATGCTAAAAAAGATATGTTTATACAAAAATGTACAAATGGATCAAAACTGTATCTTTTTGACAACTCTAGGTACGCTGGCAAAAGGATGATGCAGACAACAACATGAACTTTTACTCCATTTCCTCTGATGGCCGCATTTGTTTGTGGACAATCTTGAAGGTATTCACTTTTTCCATGTCGTTTAGAATTATTTCTCCCATCATGTGTGTCTTCTTCTTCTTCTTCTTGATCGCATTACACTTGAAGTCTGGTATCTGTCATAAATTGGGCCGTCCTGCTCAGTTCATCTGTCGGCCCGTATAGCTTCTCTTGTAGCGTCAGTGGGGTTGGCCACGTTTCCTGTCTCAGGGCCCTGTGTGTCTTGCAGTGCTGAAGGATGTGTTCAACAGTTTGATCCGCCTCTCCACACTGGCATTTTGGTGATTGTACTAGTTTAAAACATCTGTACATATGTTGTCTCAGTCTTGTGTGTTGTGTCCTTAGTCGGAAGATAATCACTTGTTCTTGGCAGGACAGCTCATGGTAGCCATCTGAGGCGCTTTAAATAGTGTATTTATAATAGTTTTTATTTCTGTGTAGTTAACGTTGTTGTCTGGTTGCTCTTTATGTGCTCCTAGTTTGGCCATCCTGTCTGCCTGCTCATTTCCTAAGACAACACAGTGTGATGGAATCCACTGCAGCTTGATCCTCAGACATGGGATGTCCTCAATTACTTTTTGTATCATGTGTGTAAAACTCCACATATCATAGGATTCACAAAGCTGGTTCCAATTGAGGCAATGATAAGCTTCTGATCATATTATTATAGTTGTATTTTGGAAGGGATCATGGTGATTGTTATTATAAGTAAGCATTTATTGATTGTTGGTCACACAGATGGCAAGCAGAGTGGTTCTTCACTTTAACCAAAATATCAATTCCCTCCATTTATTTTTTGGCTCCATGTCATGATTATCGAATTGAAGTGCCTCTCTCAAAGTAATCTAAGTTGTCAAGTGGTTAGTGAATGCAGGTTCATAAGATTGTTAAGCAATATTACTGAGAAATAACCTTGAGCAAGATTCATTTACCCATGGTCACAAACAATTAGCTCTGAACCATGGTGACCAGCAATATGAGGCTGCAGTCTGAACTTGTTATGTAAGAGGCTATGCTAATTGATTGTTATGAGTGTCTCTGTAGAACAGACTTCCTTATATGAACCAATAATATGGGGTTTTCTTTCTTTCTTTCTTTCTTTTTTTCTTTCTTTTTTCTTTCTTTCTTTCTTTCTTTCTTTCTTTCTTTCTTTCTTTCTTTCTTTTTTTCTTTCTTTCTTTCTTTTTTCTTACTTTCTTCCTCTTAACTATGAAAGGTATTTGACGAGTAATCAAGTAATCCTTTTCATGGGGGACTAAATCTAAGATCTGTATTACATTTCTTCTCTGTGCAGAATGAAATGGTTTACCAAGATGTGATACGGCTGTGTTTGCCTGATGTGTCAGCAGAGGGTCCGGATGGCATCAAGGTACCCACCACAGGTAAAAACACCATACAGTGTTCATCAATGTTTTGTTCATGTCTGTGTATAAATTGGTCGTCTGGGTGGTTGGCGGGTGCTCTGGTGTGGTTTGCTTCTTCTTTCCTATCAAACGTCTATCGTCCTGATCTCTCCTCCTTCTATTTTGTGTTTGTTCCTCTCTTGTAACACCTCTAATCTTCGGCACTTATATGACCTTATTGTGTTGCAAGTGCCGTAAAACTCTTTACTAAAACTAAATTGGTCGTCTCTATTTTGTGAAGAACACACCAGGCCCAGGTTCCTGTCGAGCACAAATTATGAACAGTATGAACCATGTTGTCTTTTCAGTTCAGTGTTGACTTCTGTCCTAGTCTGTTTCAAGAAAAGTTTTTATTATTGTGCCAGCTTATTGTAAACTGTTACTCAACCATAACAGCAGAAGGAATAATGATAACCACATCAATAATAACAACATAAACAACAGCAACAACTGTAGCAATGGCAACAACAACTTCGCAACGATGATTTTTCTTTCTCACTCCACCTTTTTAAAAAAATTGTCTAAAGCTCTCTCTACCCTACACTGTGTCTTAGGACAGTTTTAATGAGTCAAAAATTAATTTGTATCTCTGCGAAGTCAACCTGATGGCTGGATATTTCGAATCAATTTTTGTGCTTCAATAAGCAGCTTTCAGGTCTTACATGTCATCTAGATTGTGTTTGTTGAACTGAGTGCAAGAAATCATACTGATGTACTTCTTCTGCCCTTGTTCTAATTCCTCTTTACCTCCCACATTCCATGTGGGTGATTGGTGGGTACTCTTGTGTGGTTTGCCTCCTCTTTCCTATCAAACATCTATCATCCTTATCTCTCCTTCACTTATCTTTGTACTATCTAGTAACACCTTTAATCTTCAGCACTTATTTGACCTATTTGTGCTGCAAGCATTGTAAAACTCTCACTAAAAAAAAACACACTCCACCCACGATCCAGGATGTGGCACGGCATTTGACTTCCACAAGCAGAAGGACTACTTGTTCCTGGTGGGCACAGAGGAAGGCAAAGTTCACATCTGCTCTAAGGCCTACACCAGCCACTTCATCGACTCTATAGATGCTCACAACATGGCTGTCTATAAGGTATGTGATCTACAGCATGTTGTTGGGGAAGGAGGGTGTGTTGCCTATCTATAGTGAATACAGCAGAGTTCACTAAAACTGAACAATTTTAATCCAAAGACAGTAGTAGACCAAAAGAAAAGAAAATCCTCCATTTTTTCTTCTTCTTTTTGAGAAACCTCTCTAAACTGAAAATCCGGCTATACCAAAGAAAATCCAGCAGCCCCATAGACCTCAGTTTAAGTGGACTCTGCTGTACGCCTTTTTTTATCCATCTTTTTCTTCCATACTTCCAAAATTGGTTCATTCTGCTGTACACTGTCCCTTGTTAATTTATCATCTTGAAATTACAGTATCTGAAAAAGGAAATTCCTGTTTTAGATCTGGTACAATTAAACAGTAAACGTTCATTACTTTCCAATGCATTCTATTTTTACAGGTCTGCTGGAATCATTACCACCCTAAGATTTTCATCACCTGCAGTGCAGACTGGACCGTCAAGATATGGGAAATGAAGGACAAAATGGACAAAAATGAAGGTGGAGATGATTCAAGGTTAGTTGTCATTTTTTAAATCCATTTAAGTTTAAGATTTTGTACTCAAAAAGGTTTATTATTATATAGTTTTACTTTAATTTTCATATAAACATTAGAACTGTATGGCAAAGAGCTGTCACTTTTAAAGAAAACAAATCAAGAAGTTAGTATCTAACCAAATTCTACTACTTTGTTTTTCCTTTTGCATGGCACATTAATACAGCACTGAAAACTGCAAAGACACAGAATAGCCTCTGGGGTTTTTTTCTGGTTGTCTTGTGAGTTGCCATGAAAATGGTATAACTGTAATATTCAACACTATTCTTTAGCAAGCAGTTAACTATCATGAGTAACACATAAATAAAAAAGAAAGAAAAAAAATCATTAGTAACACTTTCAATTTTCCATGCTATGATGAAATAACCAGTATTTTTTAATTCTGTCCGGTAGGAAACCGCTGTTCTCTTTCGACCTGAACAACTCTGTGGGTGATGTGGCTTGGTCTCCGTACTCCTCCACTGTGTTTGCTGCTGTCACCTCAGATGGAAAGGTATAGTTTAAAACAGTTGGGTTTTTTTGCGTTATGTTTTTGCTTTTTTGAGGGGGAAGGGAAAGATTTCTTTTCTCCTTTTTCTTTGTCAGGGGAAAGGGGATGGAGTGGCTTCATATATAAACTGTAGCTGAAACCTTTCTTTTTGTTACTTAGTACCACTATTCATTAAGAAGTGGCTTGAAAATTGAAATACTGGGGGACAAAATCCTTAATGTTTTTGTCTTGAAATTTAAAAGGCAGGTTCTTTGCAAAACACGAAAAGTTTTTATTTCAAATTTTTCCCAGTACCGAAACTGATATTTTTTTCGGGGGGCCATTATTATGCGCGTTGTCCATGCTGTTTGGCTGGTTTTAAGACCCAAAAATCACTTCCTTCTATAATATTTATAAATAATATGATAAAAAGCAATGAGATTTTGGTACAGGCTTCAACTTCTTTTGTGCACTAGCTTTAAATAGGGAGGGGTCTCTGTACACAGTGTAATTTGGAAGGGGTGTTATTTGCTATGAGGTTGGGAATCACTTATCAAATACCTGTGAGTTATGTTTTTACCACTGTACGACCTTCGACACTCTCTTTGTTTCTCAGGCCTTTGTGTACGACTTGAATGTGAACAAGTATGAGCCATTGTGCGAACAGATGGTTGCTCAGAAGAAGAAAACCAAACTGACTCACATCGACTTCAACCCAACGTTCCCCATGGTGATCGTGGGAGATGACCGTGGCAATGTCATCAGTTTGAAACTCTCCCCCAACCTCAGGAAAATGAAGGCCGTAAGTTTTACTTCAATTTAACATAATGCTTTGTTGTGCTCAGTTCTTAAATTACCTTTTCTTACTTCTCCTGCTCCTTTATCTGTCCGTCATTTTTCCCTCACCTTTTATACTCTCATTTACTCTTCCTTCTCTCCCTCATCCTCTACAGTGCAGTATTCTACCTGCTTCTGAAGGATTTTGCTGTCATTTCTTTTCTAGAATTGTCATAATTATCCTTTTGATTGCTGAAGCCTATTTTGTCCAGGTTTTCTATCAAAAGTTTGTTCTGCTATTTAAGTACCTCTCTGCTTTTCATGCAGAACTAGTGTAAATTATCACAATTAATTATGTAACTAAAGATCATTCTTGTAAATGCTTTATTCGTAAGAAAGGCCTCTTCCTGCTGTTAGTAAAGCATCTGTGTTTTGAGAATATCAACATTCAATTTTTTACTATACATTTTAAATAAATTTCTCAACAAATAGTCTGTCGTTTGTTTCAGTATTTTATATGACTGAATTTGTAAAAGGACTTTTTTTTGGAGGGGGTAGGGACTGATTGTAATAGCTTTACCATTTTGTTTTTATTGTTAGAATGATAATATTTCAAACAAAACTGAACTGTCATGATGAGCCGGGTGTAACTTTTTTCTTCATCTTTCTTCAGGAGAAGAAGGGAGCACCACCAGTTGATGAAGCAACCAAGATTCAGCGGGAAGTTGAAAAACTTGAGAAAATCTTGTCCATGGTTAGAGAGCAGCCTACAGAAGCTACAGCCAACTGAACTTCTTGAATCAGAATGATATACAGAACGGGAAACAAATTTATTTGGTCACAGTCAGTAGAAGTACTTAAATGAGCATAAAAGCAGAAAAGGCCGTTTGGTTATAGTCAACTGAAGTACTTGAATGAGCTCAATTTAATTTAGCAGAAAAAACTCTTTGGTTATCCAAAGGTGTTTGCAGATTATTACCATGCCAGAAAATAAGATACAGTATGACTTGGACTTCATGTGTGAAATTACTGAGATTTTTGTCTTCCTTAGACCACTAGGTATTTCCAGTATTAGCAGATTCTTTATCAGTGGGGAAGCAAGCAATGTCCTTCATTTTGAAATTGACTACAGTTTGGAATTTTACATTATTAATGGGGGTTTCCTGGTGGACTAATTACAATAACACCAATGATATTTAAAGATCAAATTACTCATACTGATAGCAGTCAGCAATATGAGTTTGTCAGACACCATTCTTTAGTTATCTTTTGCAACAGAAGTATGAAAGTTGCTGTCCTTTTATAGCAGAAATGAAGCCATTTTCAGTAGATCTGACTTTGAAGGTTTAACATGATAAGTAACCTCTCTTGCACCTGCATAAGTCTGTGTTTGACTGAAAGTAGGAAATTCTTAAGTAGATTTTTTCTTGAACAGACAATATTTGTGATAATTTAGGTGTTTCAAATTTCAAAATATTTTCCCACTAGGTTGCTTTCAATAAATGAGAAAGGTACTTTTGTCTGTATGTGTGTGATGCGAGCTGAAAGTGAGATCAAGAAACAGCCACATAATTGATTAGCTAAGTAAATAGTGGATAACTGCATGATTTTTTAAATTGTACATAAAGCATTAAATATTACACCAAATACATAGCATTCCGTCCTTTTGAATGTTTTTTTTGTGATATCAATGTGTTTACTTGCATTATGAATAGAAAAAGAATATCTGAGCATGTCTTTGCCTGAATCTCAACAGGCAATTTAACAATATTATTTAACATTATTACCACAATTTGGTCTGCATCTTCAGTGATGCTGATCTCGAGATTCATCTGCTCAGTGTGATAAATAAAATGAATGGATGATACAATCTTAGCTGTGTTTTCCATGCCTTTTTTAATATACAGCCGAATCTGCTTCCGTGACCACCTGTCCAAAACAATCACCTCTGCAGACAACCACTACCCATTTCCTCCTTCGGATTTTTTCTGTATTATAATGACTCTGTCCAGGATGTCTACCTGTCTAAAACAACTGCTTTTCTCCTCAACAACGAGTGGCTGTTTTGGACAAATTCGACTGTACTTTTTATTAGAACATGTAAAGAACTATTTCACTAAATCCTCTCCACCTGGTGCACAAGTTAGTCGTTCAGTTATTCAGAGTACAATCTGATCTAGATCTTTGACATTCTAATCCGTTTTTGCTGTGTATGCTTTATAATCATACACTCTTGCTTTTGCTTCATTTTATTTAAAACAGAACCTATACTGAACCCTGAAAAGTATGTTTGAAATCTTTGATTCTAGAGGAAAGAGTGTGAATTGGAAAAATATGTATTTTTCATTGATGTGTAACAGTCGGAGTTTAATGTAACATCTTGTCAGTGTGGTTCAAATGGCAAGTTGAAAGCAGAAAAAAAAACATTAAGTAAATAAAAATAAGCTTTGTGTGAATTTTATTTGTAACATAACCAAGAATGTACTGATGTGCACACACACACATGTACACACACACACACACACACACACACACGCTCTCCC